AGAGAGAGAGAGAGAGAGAGAGAGAGAGAGAGAGAGAGAGAGAGAGAGAGAGAGAGAGAAACACAACAAGAATGTGTCAAATCAAAACTTCCTTCAGGCTTTCACAGTATGAAGTACATAAAGTCTGGAGAAGGGAAATACTTTAGTGAATATATTTGGCGGTTTCTGAAGTTCAATTAAGTGCATTGGCTGAATACTCTAACACATTCTCATTCCCGACACGTCACATATTGACGCTTTTCCAAGGTTTCCTCTGCGTCTTGTTTTGACGCGTCGGGTACACCAGTCGCATCAGTTTTTGACTCACCAGGCATTTCAGGGTTCCCTCGGCATCTGGATTTGATGCGTTGGGACGCAAAATATAGGGGTCTTTGAGTTGAGGTCCGTGATTAATATTAGGGATCAGGGTTAATGGTTAATTTTAGGTAATGGGGTCAGGGATAGGATGTCCAGGGCAAATATCAGGTCATTTTAGGCTTTGGAACACATAGTTGATGTGAATTTCCTACACTTTCTAAAAATGGTTAATTTTAGGGATCAGGGTTGATGGTTAATTTTAGGTACAAGGGTCAGGGACAGGATGACTAGAGTGAATAAAGGTAATTTCAGGCTTTGGGACAGTTAGTTTTTGTACATTTTCTACATTTTCTGAAATTATCAGAATCAAAATCAGCTTTATTGGCCAAGAATGTTGACACACACAAGGAATTTTGACCATGGATTCCGCCCCATCTCATCAATAACTGACACTAAGGGGGTACCCGACGCGTCAAAATCGGACGCAGAGGGAACCTTGGAAAAGGGTCAGTATGTGACGACTTGGGAGTGAGAATGGGTTGGAATACTTGATTATGTTCCGTACGGTTGGTGTACCATTCTCTACGTGCTCCTCTTCCCCCACGCTGCCCTCTGGCGTGGTTCGCTCGTAACCTTCTTCGGGAAGTGGCAGGGCTCCAAGCCGTGGCCCAGATGAACTCTTGCTGCTTGGTGTCTCCGAATCTTCCAGGCCGCTGTCATAGCAACCGCCGTCCTGGGGTTGGCTCACAACCGAGAAGGTCACCCGGCGAAGGGTCCCCTGCAGGAAACACACAAACACAATATGGGATTCATCATCTAGGATTCCTAATCTGAGGTTCTAAATCTGGGGATTAGGCTGCTGGGCGGGGTCCGCAAAGATATATTGAGATTATCTGATCGTGTTCGTCTTGATTATGGGTTTAGCTGCTTCATTGCAGGGTAATAGTCATCAACCAATCACAGCAGCCTTTCAAAGTTTTCAGTTGTCTTTTAATCCCAGTTTAGAGTAATGCTGCCGGACATGTCTGGTGTTTACAAACCTTCAGCCTGCATTCACTTCTCATCTGGACTGGTGCCCAGTGGTAGTATCTGGGTAAAACAAAGTCTAATCTCAAAAACACCAACTTTTTGTTCCATTGAAATGAACAGATATCAGCCAAGTATCAAATAAATTCCTGAGTGTCTTAAAAAACATATATCTGTTAATAAATCTGCACTATTTAGGAAAAATAATAATTTTACCCAGTTTTACCTAAACAACTCAATGATTAACATATGGTTGTAACATAAGCTTTACATTAATTTTTTTTACTATCCAATGAGCTCTAGATAAAAACAAAATCATGCATATCTTCAGTTGTTTGCTCAAAAGTGTCTATGAAAAACAAAAAACAAAAAAACCTTACAACACTTACAGAATCATCAATTTACACAAATGAAGCAATTTTCAGTAGAAGTGGGTTCAAGTAAAAATGTCCAACATGCCATTCATGCAAACATCGTCACACACACACTGTTATGCTCACACATACAGTATATCACTCTGGACTTGATGGGAGATCAGCTTTGACTGTAAATGGAAAATAAGACTATTAGTTCACGCTGGGAAAAAAAACTGAGATATTTAAATGACTTTCCGTGGCCCGAAGGGATCACTTTGCACCAGGAAGCCTGTTTCCATATGACACTCGTCCTATCTGCTCCCACTCACTTATCTGCTTACAAAATTACAACCCCTTTAAATCTAGATCTACTTTGAAACATGTGGCGTATAGAGAGAGAGAGAGTGAAGGCGACGGGGAGAAGAAGGAGATTAGGGCGGAAAAACTTCAGCTCGGAATGTCACCCCTGGATAATCTGCAGGGAAGCTGATGGACGTTTCGTATGAAAGCCTAAACTGTAGCAATTCTTCTTTTTTCAGCTAAGAATTTAAGAAAAAAAGGAAAACATTTGAACAGTTTGTATACTAAATATGCATGACAAGAGAAGAGAACAACACAGCAAAATTAATTAAGCAGAAGGAGGAAATTAATGGAGCACTAATTTCTTCTGTCACTGCTGAACATTTAGATTTAAGGGAAATCAGACAGCAAGGATTCTGAGTACAAAAAAAGAAAGAGCAAGCAATATAAGATTCAAATATAAAACTGCAGTTTCTTATATCAAATTGTAATTTTAGAGCAGTCCCTAAGGTTGAGCAGTGCAACCTCTTTTTACCTTGTGCAAATGAGGGCAGATGGAAATATAACTCGGAGTCTAAAGTCCAATGAGAACAGCAAAATCATTTTTATTTTCTCGAAATAAGTTTCACAAATACGTAATCACATCACAATAAATTAGCGTTCCCACGTCAGATATGTCAAGACAAATAATTTCAGCATTTCTCGACTTTCAAAGGCTGTCAAAACCATTTTCTTGGAATCACAGAGCAATGACATCTCCGCGTTTCTGTGATCATAAAAGGATGTTTTCAGGATGATAATGATGTAAATTTAGAACTACTTCTAATCACAAAAGAATACATACGCCTGAAGAGATGAGAGAAATACATCTCAACACATAGCTTTCCATCTTTTGCAAGAAAAAGACAGAATTGATAGAGAGATCAGTGTTTCATTTATTAGTCCAACATTACTATAATATGAAATGATTTCAAGAAAAATGACAATGTTAAAAAAACTGCTCTAAAGAACAGCAACAAAATCAAAACACCTAAAATATTCAACCTAACCTTAAAAAGCTCTGTATTTAGCACAGCAGTGAAATGATACTTAATTTGCAAAGTTGACCATTTATACAGTTCATAGTTTCTAACTCAAACAAAAAAAAATCTTATCCACATCTAGAGTATTATAGATCATATTAAAGGATTTATTAGAAGAAGTAAGATGGACTGCTACGTCAAATAAACAATCAAACAAACACAAATTTCCTAAGATATTGTGTTAAGTTTACAGCTGATTTACTTTTGGAGTTAGCCTGGCCCTTGCCTTCCTACTCAGTTCCGACCAGTTCTAGTTTCCCTTCTCTGCTTTGTCTGGGATTTCTCCCGTAGACAAGGATTTCTTCAAGAGAATTTTGTTTGTTCAGAGAACAGAAGGCGGAGTTTTGAACGACAACTTTGATTTTCTGCGCAGTGTCGGCTTGTGAGTTTAGCCATGGCAGTGGAGGAAGTGAATGAAGCCAGTCTGTGTTGATAAGGCTTCCAAATTAAAGTAAACTTGTCTGACAAAGCAGCAGCTCTCATTTACAGTCGTCTCGTTTGGCTCGGTACTTCTCTCCTCTCAGTAGGGTTGTTTACAACGCACGCAATTTCCGGTTAGCTTCTTAGCTTAGCCTCCTTCACAGTGGAGATGGCATACACATACCAACCGAGCCAAACATTTTAAACTTCAGCAGAGGCCATGCCTCCAGCAAGAATCGCTTCTCTATAGCCGAGAGTCCAGACCCTTGTACAAAGCAAAGCGAAGGACAAGGGTCTGGTTTTTACCAGGCTATTTTGGAGTCAGTCAAATTCCAAAAACCCAACACAGCTGATCAACATGTACACACACGCACAAGTTTGTATTTATAACCTTATTAGGACCGTTCATTAATTTCCAGTATTTCCAAAATTACACATATTTAAATCAATCCACCAAACACCAGCCTACAAACAATCAACCAAACCCTCCCCTTACCCTAAACCTAACCTAAACTCAATTCACATCTTAGTCCTAAACCTAACCCCCAACCTAAAAATGGAGTTCCATCATATTAGGACCAGTTTTTGGTGCCTGAAAAAACTACTGGTATTGACAAGGTAGGTGTGTAAGTACACACATGCAGCTTTAACTCTATAACGGTTTATTTTACAGATACTGAGCTGTAGTGACAGTAGATGAGTCAACCCTCAACACAAACTCTGAGAGACACGAGCTTTGTTCAAAACTTTGGCAGGCAAAGAATTCCTTCAGCTGTAAATTGGAGGTTTAGTTGCATGACTTGAGTGCAATACAATACACAAGAACCACAAACTGCTGTCTGGATACAGAGAGCCAGTCGGCACCACAGGACGGGCCTTGATCCAAAGAGGATTATGTTACCAGTTACAGCAGCACAGCGGTGCTTGTTCTCTCTCTGTGTTTTATGACAGAAATCATCTGCTCAGCCACGAGGCCATCTAATTCAATTTCCCCTGTTCTGGTCATCGCTGCTTCCTCTCCCTCCATCGTCATCATTTTATTTTGTATTTGCGCTTCTTTTCTTTTCAGCTGGCCGGAAAGTTGACTCTGCCTTTTACAGCCATAACTCTCTGCCTTTAGCACGCTCCTCCGGCTGACTTCCTCCAACTCTTCTTCTGCTTTCCAGTCAGCTTTATGATGTGGCGATCGATGTTAAGTCCTTGACCTCGTTAGGCGTCCCTCTCCACTTCCCCCCCACAGCAGGCTTTATTGACCCATAACTCCACCATCAGCCTTAACCCCTTTTCCTCCCTTATCTTTTTTACCCCCCTCCATATCTTCCTCTGGATTTCAAAGTCTCACACTCATTGACAAACCTCTTTTCTGTTGCCAAACACCCAATTTTGGCTACTTTCAGTCGTTACTTTCGACCGAGCGTCCACTCAACATGTTCCGCCTCGGTCCCTCCGGCTTCTTCTGACTGCCGCTGCCACATATCGGGTTTTAGCCTGCGATTCAGCAGCCATTCAAATCTATCTCTGTCAACATAGTTTTTTAAAAAATATATTTTCAATAACTTAGGTGTTTTATTAAAACTATATCTTAATGTTTTAGCTTTGTATAAATAAAAACTTGATTATTTCAAACATTTTCTTGAAGAATATTTGGCTTCTGTGCTGAAAATTCCAAACAGCTACTAAATGTTAGCGCTCATCTATCATAGAAACACACACACACACACACACACACACACACAC